AAAGTCAGTAGGGAAAAAAAGAGATTACTCAGTAAATGGTAGTAGAATAAAAAGTATTGTTATTTCCAATTTAACTATTTAGGAAAAATCAGGTGAATACTATATATCAAAATAAATATGAAATAAGAGTAACATATAAAAAAGAAATCATAAAACTATTAGAAGAAAATATTCATCTCTTCTCAGAGAGAATCTCAGGAGAGAAAAGGAATTTCTAAGGATAAAATCAGTGAAAATAAAAAATGTTAATAAAATATCCTCATTTACTTTGATGTGAGTATATAAAAATATAAAACTGTAGCAAAATTAAATGGCAAACAATAAACTGGGAAACATATTAATAACAAATACAGTATTTTAATGAGACATTTCTTTAAAATTAAAAAAAAAAATCTAAAATCCCAATAAGGAAAAAGGTAAAGAATGAACAATTAACAAAAAAAGCACAAATGACTAACAAACATATGAAAGCATGTTCAGCATCATCAGCAATGAAAAATTTTTAATAAAAGTAATGAGATACTCTTTTTCACCTATCGGCAAAATTTATTTTTAAAAGATAACTCTGTTTTGGCTAAGTATCAGCAAAACAGGCATCCTCATATGTTCTGAAAGAAGTGTAAATGGAAATCACCTTTCTTCAAAGGACTTGGCCATAGGCATCAAAAGCCTTTTATTCTTAACCAATGGGTCAAAGAAGAAATCAAAAGTAAAACCAGAAAATACTCAAGAGATGAATGAAAATGAAAATACAACATACCAAAACTTATGGATGTAGTAAAAGCAGTGCTCAGGGGGAAATTTATAGCCTACATTAAAAAAGGAAAAAGATCTCAAATCAATAAGCTAACTTTACAACTTGAGGAACTAGAAAAAGAAGAGCTAACTAAGCCCACAGCTACCAGGAGGAAAGAGATAACAAAGATCAGAGAGAAGATACATGAAATAGAGGACACAAAAATAACAGAGAGAATGAGTGAAACCAGAAGTCGGTTCTTTAAAAACAGCAATAAAATTGAAAACCATTAACTAGACTAAGAAAAAAAGAGAAGATGCAAATACCTAAAAACAGAAATGAAAAGTGAGGACATTACTACTGATTCTACCACAATTAAAAGAACTGTAAGAGAATACTATGAACTATTGTATGTCAAAAAATTAGATAACCTAGATGAAATGTAGGTTATCAAATTCCCAGAAGTCCATAACCAACCAGCTGCTGCTGAGTTGATTCTGGCTCATGGCAACGCTACCTAAATAGACTCAAAAAGAAATGGAAAATCTCAACAGACCCATTTTAGACCCATTTTAAGTGAAGGGTTTGGCTGTGGTGGTCAGGAAAGGCTTCGGTGAGAAAATGACATCTGAGGTGAGATGTGAAGAAGAGGAATTAACTAGGGGAAGCTGGGGAAGTTAAAATGAGAAGAGAGAGAAGACTGACCAGATACAGGGAACCAAACCCAACCCACTGCCATTGAATCCATTCCGACTCACAGTGACCCTGTAGGTCAGAGTAGAACTGCCCTATAGTGTTTCCAAGGAGTGGCTAGTGGATTCAAACTGCCAACCTTTTGGTTAGCAGCTGAACTCTTAACCACTGCACCACCAGGGCTCTGAGGTAAGAAGAAGCAAGACCCTGGAAATACAGAAACTGAAAAAATGCATGTTTAGCCTGAGACTGGGGAGAGAGATAAAGCTGATGAGGCATATACAGCCCTCTACCCTACAATAAAAATCTGGTCCTTGACCTGAGGGTAATTAGAAGCCATTTAAAGGTTTTAAGCAGGAAAAAAAGAAAAAAAAAAAGATTAGGGTTTTTTTTTTTTTTTTTTTTAATGTTTGCTTTCAGTATGAAGAATAGCCTGTGTGGGTAGGGCAAGGAAGGGGCAGAGAGACCAGGGCTACTGCGGAGGCGAGAGAGCACAGTAACACTGATTAGAGGGTGGCCTCGGAGAAGAAGAGAAGT